GGCGTTTTGTGATGTCGATATGGTCACTCATCCAAATATCCTCTTTGACTTTTGATTCGCGTGAACCGAACAGTCAAATAGATATTTAAGGTGTGTATAGAATTAATTTTTATTTATTTTTAAAACATTTTTATATATTTTTTGAGGTATAAAAATAAAAACAGTTTTCAAAACGTCTTTATTTAGTAAATATTTTTAAAATAAAAACGAAAATAAAAAATCAATTGTGAAAATGATTTTTGTAAAGGAATTAAAAAACAATTGAAAGTTATTTTCTCTTTTCTATTTTTATTTTCTAATATTTATCAATAATATTATAATATATTAATTAATAATTATAACCAAATAAGATTTTATTTTTTTATTATACTCAAAATAATATCTTAAAAAAGTAACCAAACATAATTTTAAAATCGATCTCAGAATGATTCTCAAAACAATCTTAATTTTTTTTTTTGTATTGAAAATAAAATTATTTTCAAAACGTTACCAAACCGACCCTTAAAGTTTTCCTTTTTGTTGCTGGAAGCTGAAATGGAAAAGCTGCTTGGAATTCAATTTTGATCAACGTGACTAGGTAAGGTAGAGCCATTAAGATGATACATAAGCAGGCAATTTGGACGCCATCCATGAATACAACTATTCCATAGGCCGACGACAACGTGTAGGTGACACTATTTAACTGTTAGATTAATTTTTCGACAGTCTGAATTGTGACTGTAACAATTCTATGTCGCGTGATGCAAATTTTAATGTACACTCGTAGATAAGACCGTTAAAATCCTTAATTTAACGGTTAAAATAACAGTTCTCACCTGTAATTAAAAAGTACATTACAATCCCTCACCATATATAAGTTCCAAAAAAAAAGGGGAAAATGAAAAATTTGACAAAGATATGGTGAAATTATCATCAGTCTAAAAATAAATTTTGCTCTTTTTTTCTTGCTATTTTTATCAATTGAATTATGGCATGCCAGAATACAATGGATTATGGCTTCCTACAGAATTCGCACTCTAATATTTTACGCTAGATCTCTACCTATACATGGAACAATCACACAAATAATACAAGGGGAGAGCTTAGAACTCTCACTCTTTCTCCATCTCTATCTCTATCTACCCACCATTTGAGCTATATAACTATCTCCACAAGAACTGTAGTAAGTGATAAAAGGAAAATATTTGGATTGAATAATAGCTATCCAGCTACATGATTAGAAGCAGATGTTGGATTTGCGGCTCCCTGTGCCCCGGGTTTTGTTTTGTCGAGTCGTGTTCGTCGAGCAAATTCTTGGATCCGGCGATCATGCTCCTTAAGCATCTGATCGACGCTGTTCGATGAGACAAGCAATGGGCCAGAGACATAAATTTTGTTTGTCTTGGGGCCATGACCATGCTGAAGAAGAAGAACGTTGTGAACACGTGCATTAGAAAACTTGGTCCATAACAAACGATTGACAACATGTGAGTTTTCACAGAAGCTAATTGAAAATATGCACTAAATATTTGTATTTTAAGATCTTCTCAAGCGTGTATTGGGAAAGAAAAAAAAAACATGTAAGAAATTATAAAGCCACCATGTGGAAAGGAAGAAACAACACAATAATCTTACAATGAAATGCAGAGCAAACTGAAAAGTATGTAAAGATTAGTTAGTTTTGTATTATTTAAAAATAAATAAATAAATAAAAATAAAAAGAGTATCAAAGATTGCTTTAAATCCAAAAAATAGTAAAGAATGAATGGTGGTGAAAATTATGCTTTGCCAAAAGCAACATCCAAGTCACATAATGGAACGAAGAAAGACGATACTAACCAGACTTGATTCTTTGGTACAAGGTGTTTCATCAGCTGGTGGGCGAGAATATTCAACTTTCTTCGAGCGATGTTTTCGGTCCTGCATTCTTGCAGACTCCGCTTCATTCATTGAGCCCCGGAATCTTCCTAAGTCACTCACTGTTCCCGGATGTGGAGGATCAGGGTTCTCTTGCTGATCGTCGGAGGACACCGTCCTAGCTGCAACTAAACCAGATAATTTAGACAAGTTGGCTCTGGTTGAAGCCACAAGAGGATCATTATCGCATTCTCTCCCGGATCTTCTGCGTCCAGGCCCATGAACTAGTGGTCCTGAAAGTGAGACCTTCCGATTGAGATCATCTCCCGAATCTTTTCTCGAGTCTTTAACAGCACGCAATTGTTTGGTTGGATCAACCAGAAAACCAGAAACAGATTTTTCCTCCCTACGACGGTTGAAAATTTCGCTATGGCTATTTGTGCCATAATAGTCTTGTCTTCTCTGCAATTCATACAAGCACATCAAGATTGAGAAACTTTCCAAATGCAATGTGGTATGATGCACAAATGCAATGGTTTGAGGCAAGATATTGTAGGTATTATTAATATTAAAATTTAAATGTATTTTATGCAAAACTAAGAGAGACATGATTACCGCAGCATTAGTATTCGGTGCTTGAATTGCCTGAGCTTCTCTTTGTCCTCTCCTTTCCAGGTCAACCTTGTGTGCCCTTCCACCAAGTGTTCCTTGCCTGTAAGAGTAATAAAAAATATTAACTTGGAAACAACAAGAATGACACCGTCCGACCCAAATAGAGGTGTCAGAAAGACAGATTAGTAAGTAATGGTCACACACTAGAAGCTGAATTGGAAGCTACTTAGCACAACTTGAGCAACCATTCTTTTCAGAACCAGTACCAAATTATACATGCATCTTACACGTACCTTCTAGCTTCTTCCTCTCGGAATTTCGCATCGATCTCCTTGCTGGGAGGATACTTGGGCAAACTTGAAGGATCACAAGCAAGAGGTTTCGTCGTGAAGAACTATCAAAGAATATCCATAATTAGAACAATTAATGATTCACCCAATAATTCATGTTAATCTCAAAATACTGACTAAACCTTTCTGATTCTTTTTCTTTTCCTGACATAATCACTATATATTACATTCCCCATAACCAATGCATTTATTACCAATGAACATTCACAAAAAGACGTGCACTTTTGTAGTTAACAAATAAAAGCAAGCCAAGATAATCCCGTATTTTATTCTGCTTTCCTCACAAAGGGCAATGCATTTTTGTTGATGTTCTTTAAAAGAGAAAAAAAAAAAGGATGAAGTGCTGAAACATGTTAGAGGTGCCCTGCAAACCTTAAAAAAAAATCTCAATAAGATAGTAAAATTAATACTTTTTATATTTTTCTGAGAGACTGCATACCTCACTCTTAACAGCGAAAGCTGCAGTTCCTCGATTGGCAGGATCTACGGCAAGTAAGGTCTCCATAAGCTGCACAGCAGGAGCAGGAAATTCTTTGAATGTCTCCGCGACACATCGTCTATAAGGTTGTGGAGGCTTCATCACTATTGAGCGCCGTAAGTGCAATTTACTCCAATATTCATCGGATGGTGAGCCACAGAGCTTAAAGATTTTATGAAGCTGCTCAACCTGAAACATAAAGTACATAACTTATAGGCACCATCTATAATTTTTTAAGAAGTGTCTTTATCTGTACTAAAAATAGAAAAAATCTTCAGTGGATTTCACATGAACAAAGCATCTGACGCTGAAAAATGAATTCCTAACTTCACCTCTGTTTTTCCAGGCAAGATTGGCTTGCCAGCATATAATTCTCCCAGAATGCAACCGCTACTCCATAAATCCACAGCAACCCCATAATGAGAGGCTCCGAGTAGAAGTTCTGGGGGTCTATACCAAAGAGTAACCACCCGACTCGTCAATGGAACACTATGATGAGGATCATAAAAACTTGCCAAACCAAAATCCGCAATTTTCAATATGCCATTATTGTCAACGAGAAGATTTGAACCCTTTATGTCACGGTGCAGAACACCGTGACTATGGCAATGATCAAGTCCACTTAGAAGTTGCTGCATGTAACATTTGACCTGAATAAAAGAAAGTGCAAAATTAGATAATAGGCAGTAAAGCAAAAAAGCAAACATGAAACATGTATTTTAGTTAACTGCAAAAGAGAGAAAATCCCATATTCCGCACTGCTAATGTATATGTTTTACTAAATAACCATAAAAAGAGTACTCTAGAACAAACAGAATTCTATCAATACAAGTACCTGTGGCTCAGTGAATTTTATTCCCGGGCGTGATGCAAGGCCTGTAAGATCATGTTCCATGTACTCAAAAATCAGATATAAACTGCAAGAGGTACGAGAAGTGATCAACCCTTCCAACTTGATTATATTAGGGTGATCAAGCCGTCGAAGAACGAGGATTTCCCTTGACATAAACTTGACGCTCTCAAGGTCAAGATTATCAAACCGTACTTTCTTCAAAGCAACAAATTTATTGTTGAGGACATCACGAGCCTTATAAACATTACTATAAGTTCCTTGGCCAATCTGCAAAAAAGCCATGCCATCACATGTCAAAAGCGAGATATGAGAATATTGAATTGAATATACTAAATAATGAACGACATTCTACGGAACCATAAGAAAAGCTTTAGTCTATGCCAATTTACTTGCTCTACTTTCACCTCTCTGCTTGTCACAACAATTCATAAAACAAACAGAAAAATAGAAAGGTCCACAGGCAGATTAGCAAGCATATGTTAATCATTCTTTTGACATCTTAATTTTATACACATTTGATTTACTGGTTCCTAGATAATAGCATTAGTTAACTACAAGATAAAGGCAAATTGAACATACTTTATTCAACTTCTCGAAAGTATCAGCACGCCGTGGCAACCATCCTTTGATAGCTTCGGGTGCCGCCGCGGATAGCCACCCCGGCCACCCTGCAGCAACCTGTTCTCCTTGAGTAGCCTTCGGAATTCTTCCGAAACCTGGATGATTAGGGACAATAACTTCAGCCTTCTCCGCCTTTTTTCTCTCGGTCTCGTGATCCCCATAACTTCTCCTTGAACCATTGGCTTTCTTATCGATCAACATGACTTTCACATCACCGCCATCCAATCTCTCTTTTATCCTAACCCCTTCTTCTCTTCTTGAAGAATTGTGTCTTGAGACCTTCAGCTCTGAGTAATGTTTACTTGAAGAGGATGATCTCTTCCTGGGACTTGCCCTACTGTCTTCAACAGCAGAAGTCTTTGAACACGCACAACCCATATTTCACTACAAATTGATATACCCACCAAAGGTTTAAAACCCCTTTTCACAAGCAAAAAAATTAAAAAATAAACAAATAAAAATGATCAGTACCCAAAACCAATCCCAAACTTCCCCTAAACTTCTCCTTTCCTCAATTCCATTAAAGGGAAACTCACCAATTGATAAGCAACCAATAGCCACTCAAAGAATTCATGCTCTACCTTATATCCAATTCACAGATTACACAATTCTTGAAATCTCAAGATTCAAATACAAAAACATACACATAAATTCCCCAACTTCAACATCACCACTTACTGTAAATACCTCAAAATAGAGCATGAACCCAGAAAAAATGAAGATAGTATTTTGACAAATTCAAACATACCCAGTTCCAAATTCGCCAAATTCAATTGTCCCCGTATGTTATTATGCAAAAAAGAATGAAACCCAGAAATTCCTTTGCCTTGTTTTTCATGATCAGGGACTTTAGAAACCAGAATTTCTCGAAAAGCCCAGATAAGTAATCGAGGACTGGGAATTGAGAAAGGAAAGTCTGATGCTGATGAGGCTTAATTACCAAGAAAGAGAAAGCTGAGTGGCTTGGTTTGGTTTGGTTTGATCGTTCAACGCGTATTCAAAAGATAATTTTATTTCTTTTTTTTTTGGATTATAATGTTTTATTTGTTAATTTGGGACGGCTTTTTTGCCGGCTATTTGCTCAGTCAATATAAATATTTTATTTTTTTATCCCTTCTTATTATTTCTCTGAACTGAAACAGTAACTCCACCTTTCTCTCTCCTCCTCTTTTCCCTGACTAAACAGTTGGAGTTGGTTCTTTTGTTCAATGAAGGTTGTTGGGTTCTGTTTGACATTTCAATGCTTCATCAAGCCATTAACCCCTTTTATTTCAAGAAAGAAAATAAAAAAAGCATTAACCCCTTTTATGAAAAAAAAAAAAAACCAAACCTTTTTATTCAAAAACAATTTTAAAACAAAGTACCAAAAGAAAAAAAAACTTAATATGAATGTCAATAATTTGCATCATTAATTCAATTTTTAACTCGAGTGGTTTCTAATCAATCTTTGCACTACTATATTGAAACTGGATTGCTTCACTTGCCAGCCAATTTTGTTCTTTTTTCCTAAAAATTCCAAAGTGAAGTTAAATAGTTATTGATTGAGAATAATGAATGAGTTGCATTACAACTCTCACTTCCACGCGTTGGTGATTTTCATAATTATTATGATTAGGGGCATTCTTCTTTCCTTTCTTTTTTTACTAGTTGAGAGATTCTAAATATGTATATAAGAATGAAAAATATATTTATTAAGGATTTATTCATTTCATTTAAGTCATAACTTAAATTATATTACTACAATATTTTATTTCATATAAATTCAAATTTAACTTTTTTATTATAGTGTTTTTCTCTCACATACACTATCAAGTTATGACTTGAGTTGTGCAAATAAACACACCCTAATCATTTGAAGAAATAAAAAAATGTATAATAGAATAAAAAATAAAAAAAGACAAAAAAAGAAAAGAGAGGAAAAGAAAAATTAAAATTAAAAAAAAAAACAAAACAAAAAAAACCCACTTACGAAATATTTTATTAGGTGGACATGATTTTTAAAAATATGGACATGGATATGTATGAGAAAAAATTGTTTAAATAGAAAATTTAAGAAAAATATATATTTATATGAATAAAAGGTAAGAATGTAAAAAAGAGAAGGAAAAAAAAAGAAGACAGAGAAAAAAAGAAAGAACGTAAAAAGTTTAAGAAAACACTAATCATTAGCGCCACTAAAAAATCCATTTTGCTTTTATATGTCGGTATAAGGTTAGGAAAATTATAGTAAATAGTATATTTTTAAAATGAAATTAAATAAATTATATTTTAAAATTGTTTGAAATAAATAGCTGTATACGTGGTAAATGAATCATTTATTGTGTAAATGATTTATTTATGATTAGTAAAAAATCTTAAAAAATCTTTATTTACGTAGAGAATAAATCTTTTTATCAATCGTAAAAAAAAATATTTACAAGAAAAAATATTTTTACTAGTTGTAAATGAATCTTTACATGCTAAGTTATTTATTTACCACGTGTAACTGTTATTTACTTTAAATAATTTTAAAATCTACTATTTATTTAATTTAATTTTAAAAATCTACTATTTACTACCTCTTCTCTATAGATTAATACTTCTATAGCTTGTAACTTGTGTTTTAAGGGCATCAAAGAGTATAGCAATCTATACCTTTAGATTTCAAATACATGTTGAAAAAAAATATGTGTGATTTAGTTGATAATTAATTCTTTTATCTTCTCAATGTGAAACCGCATATTGAAACAAAATGCAAAAAAAAATTAATAGTAACATATTAATTATCACGTGAGGCAACTCACGTTTGTCTTCTCTCATTGTCCTTTTTAAACCTTCCAAAAAGAATATATTGTATTAATAAAATTCAACAACAAACATTGTTTTATATATATATATATATATATATATAATAACAACAAACATTGTTTTTTAATGAGAAGTTGATGAACTTGAAGAAAGAAGAGGTGGAGAAGTTTGTCGGAGAAATTGTTCAAGGTAACCCCGATGTACTAACTAGAGGGCATAGATGAAAGTGAAACCTAGCCATCCAAGGACGTCAAGGCTCGGATTTCTACTTTTAAGTTCAAAATTTTGATATTTTTGTGAAAAATTTTCCGATATGTTAGAATTTTATATTCACGTGGCATATTCTTGTGGGACCGATGAGAAGGCGGCAACGGAGCTGAGTGCATTATTATTAACACTGTCTATACCACTGGAGTACTGATTGTTTCTAAAAACAAAAAAAAAACAATTTCAAGCTAATTGTATAATGTGAGTGTTTTTCAACATGCAAATGACAATAATTAAGAGGAAGCTTTGATCAAATAGCTAAAAAAAGGGAGAAAGTGAAAAGCAGCATTTTTAAAAAACTTATTTGAAGTAAATAATATATTTTAAAATATTCAAATTAAATAATATATTTACTGATAAATAAGTATTATTGAAATAAATAATTTATTTACTAAGGGTAAATAAATTATGTACCATTACTTCAAAATATTTCGAAACCCGTTATTTACTTCAAATAAGTATAAGAAAATGATATTTACTGCAATTTCTGTAGAAAAATCTTCATGACCAAACACATCAAGAGCAGCTATACAATCCAACCTAAGAAAGGCAAAAAGACTAAAATAATAAAGATAAACAGAAATCAGGCAACACATAATGCTAACATTTGATTTGTGACCAACCCATGAAATGGTTAATCAATATCCATAAAATTCGTCCTCATAATTGGTGTGTCGCTCTTTGCTGGCATTAGTCTCACTACCTAATGATCACATCTCTAATAAACGTAAATGTTGCCCATGCATTCCTAAAGAAGGATATTAAAACTCAACTTACTTGTATCAATTTATTCATTTTATTGGTTTCGTGTTTAATTTATTGGATACAATAATGTGGTTTGAAAGTATACAAGTCAAGTAAATTTTACAAATTTTGGTTTTCTTTATTATTTTTTTCTCCTAAAATTTTTAAGCAAAGTGTATATGAAAGTATAAAAGATTACACCTTCAAAAAAAAAAAAAAAAGTATTAAATTGCGGTTTCGATAATGGTCATTGGTCAAGGTCAATAGTCTGTTGCCGATCATGATGGGGTGTGATTTTTTTTATTTTATTTTTATTTATAACTGACTAACTTTTTCTAGAAGGAGAATTTTCATTTTCATATACATATAAGTGACATAAGAAACAACTCAAGCAAGCTCTTCGTATTAGCAGTCAACAAGAGTTTATTGACTTGAAAGTAATAATTTCCTTAATTAGCAATATATATATATATATATATATTGTAGAAAAAGAGAATTTTCTAGAAAAGGAAAAAGGAAAAGTTTGACAATTTTGTGTTTCCATAACCTTGTTACGGAAATGAATAAACTAGGAGTAATGACAATCATAGTGAATTTCTTAATGTGTTTCATACTATAGTCATTAGATTTAGTTTAAACGAAGAAAGCGTGTCTAACGCACTGCACACGTATGTATACCTGTTTATAGTATGTTTACGTATATATATTGCGTAGGCTATTTTGTACCAACAGTGTATGAATTTTTTAAATTTAGCAATTTAGTCTCTAATTTTTTTTAAGTGAGAAAGAGGGAAATAGATCAAAACTTGAGATGAATTAAAATTAATAGGCCAATAGTTTACACAAGTTAATAAATATGCTAAATTACTGTTTTTGTTCATAACTTGTCTGGTTATGAACCATAACTTGACAAGTTATTATCCATAAATCACAGTTTTTGTCCATAATTTGTCTGGCTATGAATCATAACTTGACAAGTTTGTCCATAACTTATCTGGTTATGAACCATAACTTGACAAGTTATGGCCTATTAATTTCTATAACTAAAAGTTGGCCTATATACTTCCTTAAGCTTTTCATATTGACCTATTTTCTACTATTTCCGTTTTTTTTTTACTGGCAATCAACATCCCGAATTTATAGTTTTTGACACTTTTAATCCTTGTTGCTCAAATTTATTAAAATTTTGACCCTTTTTTGCACCTAATTTACAAATAATAGCTTAATAAGGGCATTGATGTACATTTTTGTCTAGTTTCAATATAAATACATTTGAAAACTTGAACTTAATTTAATTATAACTTAAATTTTAATCTAAATTTTAAAATGAAATTTTATTAATACCAAATAAAAATATCATCAATGCACTTCTTAGACTGCCACTTGTAAATCTAGCACAAAAAATCATCAAAATTTTACGAATTTGATCAACAATGACTGACAGTGTCAAAAATTAAAAGTTCTAAAGGTTAATTGCTAGGAAAAAAAATTAGGAGTTAAATTGCCAAATTCAAAAAGTTTTGGGGTGTTCACACAAAATAGGCTATTGCGTAAGGATTTCTTCTTTCTTTTGCTTGAAATTTTGTCTAAGGTACTTGCTTCGAAGTAGTTAGCTATATGTAAATTGTATTACTATTATTTTAGATAATAAAATATTTGAATCTTCTAGTTGTAATATCTATAGCTGTTTACGTTGAAAAATGCCATAAATTACAGGTGAAATATTTGATAGGAATTAGTTCAAGCGAGATATAGTGTAAGGAAATTAGGAAAACAATCTACTGTTTGGCGTTCATGAAAAACGACATTTGCCTTTTAGTATATATCATTTTAATTGAAAATTATATGTCCAACGAAAGAGACACATTGTTTATCATAAGATGATATCACTCAATCCTAAACATTTACTGTCGCTTGAGTTGAAAAACGACGTTAAATCCCACCTATATTCTCTAGTTCGTTGTCGTTTATTTAAGCCTGAAAGACGGACTTGTTTTTTTTCAAAGGATTTCTGTTAATAAAACGGCAACACTCGACACGTCTTTTTTTTTTTTTTTTTTTTCCGTCTGAAATCGTTGCCACTTGCCATGATCTAAAATATAAAAGACGTGACGAGTAGACGACATGTTAATTAATTTCCTAGGAAGCATGATTTCTCTATCAATAAATGGACGAAGAATTTATTCAAGAAATAAATAATAAAAGAAAGCACAGTTTAACGTTGTTATCGCTGTAAGATAAAGCAATAATCTAAAATCTATAAACTATAATCTACATGTTGTCTGTTTCCCCAAAAAAATTACACCGTTTGGTTTACAGTGGAAGAATAATAATGAGAATAGAAATAAAAATGGTAATAGAATAAAATAAAAAAGAAAAATGATTCATTTGTTTTGTTCTTCTGTTACAAATGCAATGAAATGAAATATGAATATTTTCATATTAACAAAATTACCCTAATGCTAATATAACTAATATCATATATATTAATATAATTATTTAATAACTAATATTATATATATAATTATAAGAGCTAACTTTGACAAGTTATCAAGAATGCAGGCTGAGACAGAGGATGCAGTTACGGCCTCTGATAAGCGGCTGAAGTCACTTGGGGAAGAGGCTTCACGCTTGAAGAAAATGCTACTTCAAGTTGAGGATCAGTTGAGGCATTTCGAGAAAGAGAATGCAGAGCTGAAGACTAGATCAAGAAAGATTTCAAAGGACATCCTGGAATTAGAAAAGAAATTGCAGGAAGCAGAAACAGCAAAGAGGCTGCACGAGGAAAGAGAAATGGAAATAAATGCTGCAAAGAAATCCTTGGAAATGGCTAGGATTCAAGTTCGGCAGTCGGTATTTACGGTGTGATGTGGGTGGAACTTTGATTTTTGCTTTTGTTGTATAACTTAGATGATGAACCTGACAATGCCGCAGATTACAAGTCTTTGAATTAACATTTAGCTGAATCGTTGCAACTACTCGGTCAACTCTCCTATTTAATTTAAGTGCAGCAGTATGGAGTTTCCATTAAATATGATATTATTATAATATACGTATATAATTATAATATATTATATTATATGTTATAAGATATAATTACATTATAATATAAATTATTATAATATAATATTAATTATAATATAAATATTATAATATTTAAGAGTAATAATGAAAAAGAAAATTAAAAAAGTTTGGAATAGTCATTTTTCTCATATAAAAAAGAAATGATGATTCACTTATTTAATGAAAAAGTCATTCTAAATTGTCATTTCTTTTTTTAAAACCAACTAAACATAAAAATAAATTTTGATTCTTTTTCATTCTTTTCCATTCCCCCGATCAAACACACCCCTCGTGTTTAATTCAAAAGACTAATCGTTTGACTCGTTACATTGTTTATGTTTATCGTTTTGGTCTTTTTGACAAGACGACATGCGATTTCCCGCGAGTTATTAAAAAAAAAAAAAAAAAAAAAAAACTGATGATTACGTTTATTTTAACGACACGAATATGATACGACAACGTTTCTACATCGTTCGCTTTTCCTAACACGAGATGTCGTTTTTACAGTCGTTCGTTCGTTTGCAATAAACATGAGATGTCGTTTAGTTGCTTTACAACCATGAGCCCCATCGGGCTGCCTGTCAAACCCACCAAATCACAAAAAAAAAAAACCGCCAAATCCAACCTTCATGCACGCACTTCAATAAGCCAAATACAACAACTCCGACTGGTCGCCTTAGATTTTGGCTTCCACTCGCCATTCCCAATTCCAGATCAGATTCTCTTTTCATCCTTCATCGAAATTCGCAATCTCATGGGTCTTTGTTCTTTTGTCTCTTCGCAAATCTCAAGGTTATCTTACCCCGATCTATAATTTCGAATTCTTGATCCACCAAGGCCGATTGGAAAAAAAAAAAGATGGGTTTTGCTCGTCGATCAATGAATTCATCTGGGTTGGTAAGATTGTAATGACCCACATTGTAAAAAAGGAGGTCTGATTAATTTCTGAATCTCTTGATTTTGTAAATTATAAATGGGATCTTTGTCTATGTTCTCCATTATTTGTATCCTTCACTCTTTAATTTCGTTAACTTGTGGATCGCTGATAATGTTCTACCTCAAGGAGATTTCCGTCTTCGGTCACGGCGTCGAAACGGCCCGGAAACTCTCGGGATCAACGCCACACGACCAGTTGTTGATCCAAACATCTAATTCCTTCGCGGGTATGCTTCTTTTCGTCATTGGGTTCTTCTTGTTCATGGTGGCCTTTGCAAACGAGAAGGAGTTTCAGAGCTTTTTCGCCAAAGGTTGTGTTCTTCTTCACGTTTCAATGGCGCTTTGGAGGGTCTACTTCGAGAGGAGGCTCGAGGTTTTGGCTTGGGATTGGCCTAAACAGGTTATTGGGGATTTGGTCTTGGCCCTTTCGTGGGTTTTCTTTCTTGTGTATTCTTGGAGAGAAAAGTATGATTGAACTTAACGTAAAGTCATTGTTCAGAATTTGTATCACGTAATATATTGATGTTTAACATGTTCTAATAGATTTCAGATTATGTTTCCCTGTGAAAATGTTGCGTCCTTTCTTTACTTTTGTGGTAGGGACAACATATGAATAGGGGTTGTTGAAACGGCATTTGTTGAAAGGATGTGTTACATGCAATCTCATTGATATATTTTGAGTGAAATTGTACCTTGTACTTCCTCTAGATTATAATTCGTGTTAACTGGACTTATATAGCAGCTCTCATTGAGAATGAACCACGATAAATTTACTTGTTCTTCTCATTTTTTGCCAATTAATAGGAATTAGGACTTCTAATTCCTGACAGAATTCAGAGCGTGATGTCTCTAAGATTTCACAGTAAGAACTAAAGACATGCAACATCAAACTATCACATAGTTTTTGTTCGAAAGAACTTTGTACTCGAATTTAAAGTACTTACTTTGTTTGTTTCTCTTTCTTATGTTGGTTTATCATGATATGAATCATGATGTTTTGATTGGTCACTATTGAGAACTAGTTGAACAACCATGATGCTGAATTATGATCTCCTCTCAGCAGCTTCTTGCTTTTTCATGCAGAAAAGTAGAAATTTATGGCCTCCGTACTAATTGTTCTCCCCCTTGGGTTTAGTCCTGCATAAGCTTCCCGGTCAGGTAATATCAAAGTTAAATCTGCAATATAAAGTTTAATGCGTTTTTTCCCTGGATATTCATTAAACTGCAATAATCTTTTTTCCTGCAGATTTTGGTGGTCTTTGAATAGATTGACAGGTTCATTATTCTAGAATGATGCCTATATTTACCCTATTTCATTCACAAAACTTTGCCTTAGATCAGATAGGCTCCAAACTATAGAATTTCTTATACACACAGCATAGATTAACAAAATATGTAAAATAAATAATTTCTTATATAAATATTGAAAAAAAAAATTATTAATAATTTATTTTTTTTAGTCCTAAAAAAAAGTTTCTTTAAACTATAATATAAATATAACCGTTCAAAAAAGTTTCTTTAAACTATAATATTAATGTTCTTGTTTTTTCAAAAAAAAAAAAAAAAAGAAAAAGAAAAAAGTTTCTTTGACATTGATATGTGGTAAAATCTGCTCAATACTTTTCCATATTCGGTTTCTTTCTTTTACCGGTTAATGACATAGTAGAGAAGAAAGGAAAGAAAAATATGGGTGGAGGGCAAGAAAGGAAAGGAATATATTGCGGGCTAAGAATTGTCAGAATCTGCAAGTTGTAAAGTTTAAAGAGACTTGTCAGCCATGGCCATTGGAATCACCAAAAGTAGTAAAAAGGCTAAAAAGTACACACTCCTGATCCTGAATTGCCCAAACGTTGCCTTTGGGTCTTGATGACTTCTTCGTTGCCTTGCACATGACCAAAGCTGAGAAAGGCCCAAAAACAGCGAGAAAAAAGCTGAGGCTGAAGAGAGAACTCAACTGTCATTCTCCAGTCTCAAACAAAGGACATGGGCTTATGCCCAAGAGTCAAGACAAATACATCTAAAACACCCGGCCATTACACACCTGATGACGCGTCACTACACACTTCGAGCTTAGGAAAAGATGTCTCGCAAAAAAAAAAAATAATAATAATAATAATAAAAATAACCCAAGAAAGGAGAGTTTTGGTTCTAAACAAAAGCGAAAAGTTTTATTTTAAGGCGTTAAATGTATATCATAAAAAGTTAGAAATCGGCCCTAACTAAGAAATTTCAAAAATATCATGAAGGAGTGGGATTAGAATTCTAAACTTTATGATGCAGTTAATTGTGAATTTGTTCATAAGTTACGTGATAGGACCGTTGTTTTTTAATTAGTTAGAGGTAAGAATATAAAATTTGTTTTATAGCATAAGAGCTAATGTATGAAGGTATAACAAGTTATGTTATTGAAATATTAGCAGTATATATATAGGCTAATTTTTTTAAACACTAGTGGTGTAAGGATATTCTGTTTTTTTCATCTACATCTATAATTATGATTAGAACCATAATGAATAGCATTGCTCTATAATTTCATTAAATCTTAAAGTAAATGGATTTAGATCATTTATTATTATTATTTTTAAATGAAACTGAATTTCATTAAAAGAAGGCTAGGTCCTTAAAAATTTCCTCTGAGATTGTAGTAAGAATTGCACCTGACCATAATGAATAAAGGAAGACAATACGAAATTGGTAAGTTTAAGTTATTTTCTTTAATTTTTAATGTTCATTAGAGTATGGGACAAAGAACCCCAGTCCAAAATAAATCCACTTATTACGCTAACTTAAAAAAGAAAAGAAAAAATAAAAAAGGAAAAAGAAAAAGACAGAGAAAAAGAGAGAAAAGTGAAGTGATGGATTGAATGTGTCACGCTCTGCAAGTGCGCGTGCTATTCCAATTCAAGTGGTCACCACTAATCTTGTTCTGTAGTGGTGCTCATTTGCTTTTTTTACGTTCTTAAAATCAAACGGGCCCCTAATGTTTACTTTCCCATCGTCTGTTCTGAGGAACTCAGACACATTACTTACGCACAGCTCTGAGAAAGGTGAAGGAAAATCACCGACACCAACAACACACAAAACCCAGAATTCAGAAATCCCACCAACCCAAAAACAAAAACAAAGCCAATAGAGCAGAGCAACACAAAGTAGAAATCTTCAATCCTTTTTCCTCCAAAAATCTAGAGCGATCAAAAGAAAACCCAAAATCAAACCCACAAAAAAAAGTGAAGCTTTTTCCATGGCGGATAACCTGGAAGAAGAACAAGAAAGAACACCTTCATCGTACACGCTATTCCTAAGAGTCATGAGCAAAAGGAGAACATGGCTATGCATATTTGTCCTAGTATACGCAATAATCCTAACCTCCTCTTGGAATTTTCTCAAATCCATACTTTCTTGGTACAATCTGCAATCGAAATCATCGTCGTCAACTTCCGGTTGGCCCGCTCTTTACGCGTCCGTGCTTCTCGGAGCGGTGTTCGGGGTCGTGTCGATGGTGGCGGCTCTGGCGGTGGTGGTGCCGGCGACACTGGTGACGTGGATCGCCATTGTCGTGCTCTTGGCCTTCTTCGGGAAGCCCAGGAGGGACTTGGTCGTCGAGGGAAGGAAGATTACGAGAGAGATTGTTGGGTTTGTGTTGAAGATTTTGTTGAAGGAAGGCAACGTTGTGGCTGCTGTTTGTGCCGTTTTGGGATACTTTGCTCTTGTTAGGAAGAATAATATTGAGGCTGATAATTCATAACTGACTGGGTACAATTCCTCTTCTTCTTTTTTTTTTTTTTTTTTTTGGATTTTGAGTTTTGGATGAGGATTAGAATTGGTAAAGCTCCTCAATGTGTGTAAATTCTGGGACAGGAAATGTTTCTAATTTATTCCTTTTTTTTCAAACTAACGAGTTCACTCATTCACTGCTTAGATGTGTGATATTATCAGATAGGATTGGACCCTTTTGAGTTTATAGTTAATAATTTAAAAAAAAAAAAAAAAAAAAAAAAAAAAAAAAAAAAAAAAAAAACTCGGCTTGTCTGTGGTTAGATGGTGCATAAAACTGGGGAGTTGTTTGGAAAATGGAAAATATCTGGTTTTGGGATATGTTAGTTAGTGGCAACATTATCAATGTTTTTTATTTATTTTGAAAGGACATTATCAATGTCTTAAGATAGGAGTGGACTTGGATTTATTGACTAGCTTAACCATTCTTTGTAGAGATTACGTTGGCACCAACGACATGGAATTTTGGTTGTTAAAAAATTCAGAAAAATCTTTGCAATGGTATTGTAGGAATCCTTTGTTCTTGATACGTTTAGACACCATTTTGATTTTTGAGCTAGACAGATTGAACAGTTTATATTATCAAAAAGTAAATATCTTTCCCTTGCTCATTTTCTCTCTTCAAACCGCAAAATATTAAGCTTTTGTATGGGATATTTAACCAAATAATGGAATCAAGTCTTATCTTAGTTCTGTTTCATTCAGGTAGATATTATGTTTTTAATCGTTGGAATGATTTTTCAACGGCTAGATCCGCAACTGGAAGCAGTTTTTGGTTGCGCACCTCAAATTTGTAACACGAATACTTATTGATTTAACCGTTAAAAAGTTCAACTCCACACTTAAAATAGCAGTACGGTAGGATAAAAAGCATTCCCTGTCATAAAACTTGCCACAATTTATATATTCTCCTACTTGGTCTTAGATTTTCTTTCCTTTTTTCAAGCTTTATATTTGGCCCCAGTTACAGTTAATCGATTGCATGCTTTGATCATACTTGATTAATCGTCTGCAACATTTAGATTTGATTACATCAACTCCTTTTCATCTTGGCTATTTACATCTTGGAGAAATACTTGTGTTTTTGTACAATTTCTTCAAGTTTTCTTTCAACAAAACTTTGATGTATTGTTCTCTCACACATACAATATTTGTTTTGTCATTTGTTGGTTGGTTGTCGTTCAGCTTAAAAACTCCACTGTAACAGATTGATGATTGATGTTTTATGGAATTTCTTCATGCCTTGCCTCTTCCTCCCCCACCTTATATTTTTTTTCCTCTTTTGTTTTTGTTTTTGTTTTTTTTTTTCTTTATTTCTCTATGACGATTTGACGATGATGGTGTTTGTGGTTTTCCATTTTTGAGCTGATATGAATCATATCATATGATTTTGGATTAATGGCGTATATTTTTGAGCTGATATGAATCATATCATATTATTTTGGATTAATGGCTTATCATCATCATAAAAAGGTGAGAAAGTAAAGTTGCTTAATTTGTTCGAATTGCAACAGTTATTTTAAGCTTTTCATTTCATTAGTGATAATTGTATGGTTCAAAGAATAATAAATTTTTTTGGTTATAATACTTTGAGTTCACAATCCAATAAGTTGCTACTCCACCTTGTGAAAAATTTGACACAAAATGAGGTTTATGTAATACTGGAATTCTGTGTTGCAGGTATTCACATCCATCTCTAACAAATTGTAAAATTCAAATCACTCATCCCCAAATTCAAAAAAAAAAAAAAAAAAGAATTCCAAATTTATATTTTTATAAGTAATTTTATTTGGTTAGAAACCAACTGGCAGTTTTCTTTTGTTTTCTCTTAGACTTTTTACGTTTATTTTTATTTATTTATTTATTTTCCTTTGGTCAGCAATAAGAAGTGGGTAATGTTTAATTTAACTGCAAAAACAAACGACAGCCCTAATCAATAATAACCGTTATAAACATGAACATTTCCAATTTTCCCCGTGACATTAATCTACAAATCTATGCTTAGTGAGGCAATTAGAGAGGGTTCTTCAACAGCCGTTAGCTAAAAGTGGGCCCCAATGGTCAACGATGACTTACATGGCGATACCAGTAGTATTAGAGTTGAAGGCTTGAAGCAACAACAAGAAGTCCTTTTCAAGTATACGTTGCAACGCATTGTACGGAATCACAATCCCTAATTTCATTGGAATTCAACGCTTAATTTATTTAATATCCCTTAAATGTTAGAATGCTCAAATTCTCCCCAAGGTGATTTTTCTTTTGGGTGTTTGCATAACGTAATAAGTTGTACTGTGTTCAGTTGTAAATAATTTATAGTATGAATAATTCATATATTGTAAAGCATGTCTAATAATAGGTTTTTATAGTAAGATATACTAATAATAGTGAGTTAAACATTATATCAGAATTCGTATATACAAATTTGATGGAATATTCTGAAATTCTAGAATCATGAATTATAAGCTATTCTAATATAAGATTCTCCATCTCATTAGATGTAAGTGTGATTTTTTTTTTTAAATTATCATATGACTTACGCCATAATCAAGAATGACATTCTTACTCATTAATATCCGCTTTAAATAAAACTGATATGAAGATATCATATTAGGGTGTGGCAAGCGTGAAGGCTAAACTTAACTCCTAAATCGAGAGCAAGACTAGGTAAAAAAGCTCCTCGCTTCACGCTGATTACATATAAGATTGTAATATATAATTTTGAAATTTAACCTGAACTTAGAAAAAAGAGAAATCATAGTACCATAACTCTAATGTGAATCATTTTTCTTTTTAGAGAGAGAGATACGGATAGCTCCTCCAGTAAAAATTTCCTAATCTCAATCCCAACAATGCCTTAAATTACAATATGGGTGTAGATATGAAGGGTAAAAGAGAAGTAGGTATAGGATAGGGGAAGAAGACACGACTCCCGCTCTTTCTTGGTACCATCTCCACTTAGTTGTATTATGCAAAGTTTTAAACTTTTCCCTAATCATCTTTTTTCCTTTTTTTCTTTTTTGTCAATGGAGAAAGTTTTTAAATGCAAGATTCTTAAATTTTGAAAGTATGATAATTGCACTTGAGAAAGAATTGTATTGAGTAGTAATTACAAAGGAGAGGTATGAAAGATACTCTTGAGTTTGATTGGTTCTTGGTACATTATTGCACTTCCATAGATATACATCAAGTCTTCTCTGAAAGTGTGGTAATTAGATGATGAAGATAAGATAATAATCTTTCAAATCAAAATTATTCACTCTTAAGATAATCATCATTCAAATCGAAATCATCAACTATTAATTGTGTAAAATACTACAAATGGCAGAAGGTGTACAATCACATTCAAAGGGTAAAGTCCTGCAATTAGCACCCACTTTTTAACAAGCTACTAAAAATATATAGACACGTACGTCTACATATATGCATATACATGTGTGAAAAGCTAAGCATCATTCCATCTCAAAAAAGAAGGGGGCGACAAAAGCTAAGCATCATTGATCCTTTTGTTTTGATTTGGAAGAGGAGGAGGAAAATAATTGTAACTCACTTGCTCTTCAATTTTATATTTTGCTTAAAAGGGCAAAAAAATAAAAAAATACCAATATGGTTTTGTTCTGGTTAGATCTACATCATTTTTTATTGGGTATCCATACATATTCATATAAATGTCGAAACCATACATATAGGACACTCTATAAAGTATGAAAAACGAAAAAAACAAAGGATAGAAAAGTGATTCAGTTATTCTTCCTTGAACTTCAGTATTTTGTAATTCCTTTTTCTCGAGAGACCCATGTATTACTTTCCTTGAGTTAGACAGTGACTTCCCAAGTGAGCAACAGAGCATCTATTGTCCTTTTTTGCCTTGAAAAAGACTCCAAACTACTACATCTGATACTAGATTTTTTTTCCAATAAGATAATTGTACACTGAATTCTCCTTCTTATCCCCTCCTGCCCGACAAATTCCCTTCTCATTTTTCTGATAATATTTCTCCCAATTGGATAATTAGATTACCAAAGAGAAAGAAAATGTACATTATTAACCAAGTAATCAATTTACTTTAATAATCTGGTAAAGTGTTCATGCTGCAATAAATGTAAGATACAAGCATGTTTGACGACTGATATAGTGTTTAAATTTGTTGAGGAAGAACTATGGTACAATGTTTAAAGAACAAAATAAACAAAGTCATACATCTTTACAATTTGATGATGTTTTCTTTGACAAAAAAAGAGTTCATGATCTCTATACTTCATTAATTTTTTGGTTGTAATTATTTATTTATTTACTTATTTCATGGAGAAGCTGATGATGACGACTTGGCAACTCTTGGTCTTGATAGTTGGTGATCCTCCTCTCTCCACATAATAATTTCTTTTCAGTAAGAAAATGACCAAATAACCCTCTTAGTCTCTCAACATAGTGACCCCAATTCCCTGTTCATTATTGGTAACACTTGTTTTCTTCTGATTCTGCTAGATCATCCCTTCTGTTTGTTTCCCAAGAAAAAAAAAAAGTTATATGAGAATAGAACTAATACAATTTTTTGTGAAAGTTTTGGTTGTATCACCAAACTAGTTGTGATGACAGATCAGGAATATTGGCTTCTCTGTTGAGCTAATAATACATGAAAATCAGTCCAATAAATGATTAAGATTTGATACTCTTTATTAAATTGCGGGATTTTCGACATTAGACTACAAATATATGGGAGATAAGTGTCTTACCTAAATTCGGAGGAATGAACATTGGCCAACTAAAAGAATTTTTGGCGTTTTTCTTTTTCCTTCCCAAATATTGGCCAAATATGCTTTGATTACCAGGCAAGAAAAAAGAAAACCAACAAAATTACCAAGTTTGGCCGACAATAAGAAAAGGGGTTTTTCTTTAGACATTCTCAGGAATGCAGAATAAATTTTTATCTATAAAATTTATATAAAATCACATAAAAATTAAAAAATACGTAAATTTAACAGTTAAAAATACTTAATCTATGAGGACGCAAAGCATACTAAAAAATCTCGCATAGAGTATATAAAAAATGCAATTACCTTATTGGCATCTATATACTAATTTACTAAAGGGAACTTTCATTAAGCTGGAAGATGAATTTCTTGCATTAAGGAATAAGCTTACGGATTTGATATGATTACTTATTAATTTGAAGTTTACGATATATTATTCGTTACAGACTTGAATACTTGTGAATTTAAAGTTTGCGATATATAATTACTAGGTCCCGTTCATTTCGTTAATTCGAGTTTAGAATTCGAGTTTTTTTACAGTAAAAAGTTCTCACAAATAATCACATCTAACTTTTTTGCTACAGTAAAAAGCTCTCACATAAAGTCACATCTCAACTCGAATTTTAAACTCGAATTAACGAAATAAACGGCCTTACAAATTTGATAAAGATTATTTACCAATTGAACTTTGCATTGTAAAATTTAATGATAAATCTGTGAACCGACATCGGTTGAATTGGACTCCTTGTTGCAAATGAGTACATTATTTTCAATGTCAGGAGACAGTAGCCAGTGATTGTAATGAAGACCAAAATTTCCTAGAAACATAGATAAAAAGTACAAACTAACAGGAAAGAAAAGAGGGATAAAAAAACAGAGAAAACAAGTACTTAATAAAGAAGGGGCTGCATCGGCTCCCACATGGGTAGAATTTAAGATCTATCACTGCTGAATATCTCTCTCTGTGACTCTTGTTCAAACCAAATGGCTAAATAAAAAAGATTAAACAAAGAAAGTCCCACTGATATTACTCTATGTCTCTAGATGATAACTGACACCTTAGGCCACAAAAATATAATATAATTTTTTTTATTCAATTTTCTCCTACCCAATTTCTCATTTTTTCTGAATTAATTTATTTGGTGACTAGAGAGACATCACACACGACACATGGGCCATGGGTGGTAAACAGACTTGTTTCTCACAAATATTAGGGGTGGAAAAAAAATTTGGAAAACTTGCTAAATACAAGCAAGCTAAGTGGAAAGAAAGACTACGGAATCAAGAAGTAGTCAGCAGATCTGATTAACCAACAGGCTGATGATACCAACATTCCACCACACACCCACCACCACCAAGGTCTTTTCCTTTTTACTGTCACATAATTTTCATTTCCTCCTCAAGTTTTTGACCACTTTCAAAGAAGAGAAAAGAGAAACCAAGCAACAAGTTAGGTTTGCTTTCTTCTCATCTCTTCTATTCTCTTTATTTCCCTTTCACATTGACTAATCCTATCTCATTGCTGCTGCACATACTTCCCTTCCTCTGTTCATTTTTCCCCGTTATAAAAACTTCCCATTTTCCAGAACAGAACACCAACCAGGATTAAAAAAATAATAATAAAAAAAAATCCATCTTTAACCTCTCTCTCTTTATTACTCTCACAAAGATACATTTTTGGATGCATTTTTGCATATGTGTGTGGGGAACTTTTGAGCTTAATTATGGGGTTTTTGGCATTTTGTTAGGTTTCCTCTTTTACTCTTTCCCGAAAGGGGATCTGGCAGTTACATCAAAAAAATTCCTTCAAATTAGCTTCTGGGCATTGCTGATTTCAAGTGCTCTTTGAAATACAGCCAAAAGGGTGTCCTAAACTGCCTCCAAGTTTTGATTTTATTTTATTTTTTCACCCCCAAGTTTCATGTCTAGGAAGAAAATGGTGGCTGGGAATGGGCTGTTTTACCCAATCCTTGGATTCGCCTCGTGTATGGCGTTCATCTACTTGTCATTCGGTGATGTTAAGGTCAACCTGAGTCTCGGCAAAGGACCGGAAATGGATTTTGTGGAGAGGAATGGAACCAAATTCATGGTGAATGGAAAACCCTTTTACATTAATGGGTGGAATTCTTACTGGTTGATGGATCACGCCGTGAATGATTATAGCAGAAGTCGGGTCGGGGCAATGCTTCAAGCCGGATCCAAAATGGGTCTCACCGTTTGTCGGACTTGGGCCTTTAATGATGGCACTTACAATGCCCTCCAGGTTTCCCCTGGTGTCTTCAACGAGCGAGTTTTCCAGGTATTTGGGAACTTTATGGATGATCTGCTTCTGGGTTTTGTTTCATTTGTGAAAAACTTAATTAATCTTGTTTTTCATTAGCTCATGAAAAAGGAAATTTTGTCACTTTTTTTCTGTTTTCTGATTCGTGGATGCTGATCTCTTGGTTGACTTGGGAGATAATCATGGTTTATTAGAGTGACTAGAAGCATTGGAGTCATTTTCTAAGAAGGCAAATGATGCAAATGGACCCTAGTGGCACACTAAAAAAATCTGTTCGTTTTCAGTTTTTTCTGATCTCAGTATCAATAGTCTGCACTATATTTAGTTGTTCTCATTAATAACAATTTGGAAGAGTGGTTTTGGAGTTCTGTTGGTTTTAATGCTTCTTTGGAACATGATCTACAGCCATAAATAGTTTGCTAAGGATGGCCGTTGCCCAAAATTACTAACTAGGATTTCATTTAAGTATATTTTTACTTTCCCCTCTCCTTAAGCAGGGTGTTTTGGAATTAGTTCTGAAGCTCACTTTGTTCACGTTTAGAGAATTGAGTCATTTACTAATGGACTAAACCGACTTGATTGGTTGGCAGGCATTGGATTATGTCATCGCAGAAGCGCGACGGCATGGTATCAGGCTGCTTCTTAGCTTAGTAAATAACTTGCAAGCATATGGTGGGAAGACTCAGTATGTCAAGTGGGCATGGGAAGAAGGCCTTGCTTTAAGCGCTTCCAATGATTCCTTCTTCTTTGATCCATCTATCCGCGACTATTTCAAGAATTACGTCAAGGTACTTATAGTTATAACTCTAGATTTTAAGAATGACACGAGCTATCTTTGGAGCCTTTTTTGAGACATTATTTATGATCAGAATATGAGCTCACTATGAATCCAATATTGCTGAATAACTTTCAAATGCTTTTTAGCACATCATTGGTACATCTGAAACATCTGAATTTCATTCAAAAGGGAAAACCTGTATATTTCTTTGATGCACTATTCAGCTAAATCTAAATATCTTGATGGCTCATGTGATACCTACACTCTTCATTTTACCTGGTTTTTTCATGTAGACTTTTTATGATTGCCTTGCACAACATAAGGTACTAGAACTCTTACCCAGGTTGATCTTGTAGAACAAGTACGAAAATCTGTTAAAATACAAGCAATTTGATTGTGTAGCACTGTTGGAGGCATCGTGAAATTGAATAAGAAACTCCATTACCAGCTAAACTAATCCTAATAACAACAGAAAGTGGTGTCTCTATGATCATAAGTAAACAAGGATAGTGTTTGGAATATCTTTTTCCCACCCTCTTTTTCCCTCTTCTGACAAATCAAATAAAACGCTAACAACTATTACTCTTAACGAATTGACTAGAGACTATAGGGCAGTGGAAACTAGGGACTGTAATCAACATTAAGGAATTAGTCCCTCAAGTTTATTTCTTGAAACTGTTGAAACCCAATGAAGCGACTAATGTTCCCAACTACTGCTTGACGAGCATGTAATATTGTTCCCTGTTGGTTTAACTTACAGAAAACTGTAAATGTTTTTATTCCTTTAGTTCCTTAGAATCTACTTACTTATTTATTTGTTTACGTTTTTTCTTTGGAGGCCCACAATCTAGTAGCTATAAACTTATTTTTATACTTAGTATTCTTTGGTCGTACACTATAAAGTGCATCTCAAGAATATTTCTGGAAATTATATTTAGTTGCTACTATAATTTGAAGTTGTTAATCACTTTTTTTTTTGTTATTTTTTATCTCTCTCTCTCTCTCCAGACTATCCTGACAAGAAAGAATACCATCACCGGCGTTAGATACAAAGATGATTCGACCATATTTGGATGGGAGTTGATCAACGAACCTCGTTGCATCACAGATGCTTCAGGCGACACTCTTCAAGTATGTTGTTTATTCTTGTACCTGCTGCCTTACAAGCGTTAATTAAAAAGAAGAATAAGTGATGGAAACATTTTGATGTTTCAAGTTGCTTAAAAATATGACTTCTCGAAGCGTTTTTATCGTTCAAGTATTACTAGTGTAATATCTCTTTCCTGCTCTGACCAACATAAAACCTGTGAACTTTATGTTTCTTGGTGAATTCGAGATGTAAGCTAGGACTACCTATATTAGTTGGTCGTGGCTTGTCTTTGAAGAAAAGTCATATTATATGAGGAAGTCCTCTTTTTTGGTTACTATAGCATTCCTTCTCAAAATACTGCAACTTTAGCTGAAATCAAGACTTTATCGACAAGAGAAAGCTCTTCTGCGTTTGAGTCCTTTCCCTGTTGTGTTTTTTCTTGGCTGAGAAGTTATTTGTTCTAACAACGTAGTATTTTCTTTGTCAGTCACAGGTTCATTTGTTGTTTTAAGTATGATTAAGGTATTTTAAAAAAAATGGAAAAAGAAAAATAAAACACCATAATAGAAAGATAACAGTATTAATTAGTTATATTGCAACTGTAGGATTGGCTGGAAGAAATGTCTGCGTTTGTGAAATCAATAGACAAGCGTCATCTACTGACTATTGGTCTAGAAGGATTTTATGGTCCAAAAAGCCCTAAAAGGTTGACCGTGAACCCTGAAGAGTGGGCCTCCCGTCTAGGAGCGGATTTTATCCGTAACTCCCAGATTCCGTACATTGACTTTGCATCGGTTCACATATATCCTGACCATTGGTAAGCCTTGCCTGATGTATGGTTAATGCAAATGTGGAATTTTATTCTCTTATCAAACTGGTGCCATGTATTTTCTTGAGAATTCATCTAGCCTAATTCACTTCACCCTTTTAATTTTGGTAGGTTTCATGGTCTAGCATTTGAAGACAATCTGAAATATCTCTCCAAGTGGGTGCGGTCTCACATTGAAGATGGTGACAAAGAGCTGATGAAGCCAGTCATGTTCACCGAATTTGGACTGTCAAACCTCAACAAGGACTTCGAACCATCTCAGCGAGACAAATATTACATAACCATTTACGACTTAATTTACAAATCTGCAAAGAAAGGCGGGGCAGGTGCTGGCGCTTTCATCTGGCAGTTTCTGGTTGAAGGAATGGAAGAGTACAACGATGATTTTGGAATGATCCCATGGGAAAACCCTTCAATTTATTCGTTGGTGGTGAGACAATCATGCAGGTTGGCTAGACTCCAAGGAGTGACTCAACAACAGGGAAATTTGAATGCCTTGTGTATGCAAAGACAGTGATTTTCCGACCCCAGGGGGGGAAAAAAAGTTATTGTTTTAATTTTTTCTTTTGGTGGTAATATGTTTCATTGGTATGGCTTTTTATGGTGTTGAGAGTTCACTTATTTTGTTTAATATTCTACTCACTAGTACACAATATGCACATTCAGATTGAATGGAGGTACATAGTCCTGTATTGCTAGCAATATGTAGGAAAAGATAATGCTATGAATTGTAAATGTTATGAATTCTGTAAAAATATGAAAAACTACAGCGAAAAAAGGTCATTTTGAAGAATCCCTTCTGCTTGTAAAGGGATTAAGCAAATTATGAAAAGCCGTGGATACATCAATCCATACATGGAAAGGCTAAATATAAAATATCAGAACAGATTGCAAACCACATAATTAAGGTCCCACTAGTGCTTAAATGATTCAATAATGATATATAGGACTTCTTTCATGTCAAATCACTCTATCAAGGCGAGAGTCTTGTGATTTATGATCAATTTGTACTTCCCTGTCAAAACTCATACAAGACTTCAGCAAAATTATATATATTTTTTTAAAAAAGAAAAAAAAGTTCGAAGTGAGATTTTCCGAGGGCCAACTATCACATATCGTACAAAGATAGTGTTAATTGCTACAAACTCAGATTTCCTGTAATTCATGGAATGAAAATGAATTGAAATCAAGAAAATAAAACTCAGTTTAATTGCAGAAGCAGATTGGTGTTACGGATTTGCACGGAAAGGAAACCC